ATTTTATTTTAGTTAATTCTGAACCGAATGACATAATTTACCAATGGTTACTGATCGTAATAAAAATGTTCAAAATATTTGTACGCAGGTTTTTTGTATAAGGTGAAAAAACAAACATTCAAAGGTTAAATTTGAGTTAAATTCCTTAGTTCTAAGTCATTTATTACACGCTTGCTGTAGTGCATTCTACAACATAGTATGTATAATCAATATATCAAGACATAGCATGGTCAAGAATTAAATATGAAGTGGTTGTGGTATATACAATGTTTACATTGTACAAAAATACATACTGTGTTGCATCTCTAATCAGTTGTTCACATCCTGTTCATATCCCAAGCTGAATTCCTGCTTGCATTTTGCATTTCCTAGATCACACACCTTACTGATCACACAACAGCAAATACGTCATGTTTCGTATTGTCTTATGTATCTTTCACTTGTGACCCCAACCAGAGAAAACTCACATCAGTGAAGACCCCTCTATTGGTATTTCTGATCAGATCAGAGACAGCCCATCTGTCTGTTTTCCTGATCAGAGAATACCTATCTACTGACGATCCTGATCAATGAAGACTCATCTATTATTAATCCTATAATGCAAGTCAGAGAATACTCATCTACCAGTAATCATAATCTGTGAAGACCCATTTACCAGTAATCCTGATCAGAGAAGTTCCATCCACTGGTAACTTCAACAAGAACAGGTTTGAGTTATAACGTTCGTTTTTTGTTATTTGGTATTTTAGTAAAAAGTTACTTCTTGTTGAAAACCGCAAAACCAATTGCTTTCATATTATACATATAGTTATCTCAGGTGAACCTCTCCAAGATTTGTTCATTTTCTGATGATATCTTCAATTTTGATGAAACGTTTTTGTCATTTTTGGTAAGACCTCAAGATGAAAACCTCAAATCTGATTGCTTTGGTACTACACATATAGGCACTACATGTGGACTTCTCGCAGATTCTGTCTTTTTGTGAAGATATCTTCAATTCTTCAATTGAAATGATGCCTATGCTCTCATATAACTTCTCCTAATATCATTGCAGGTTAGTAGTATCATTCTGCTCAAGTTTTACAGACAAAAATACGCATGGATTTATTTTTATTTCTTACATTTATTATCGGATTAATATAGCAACATTATGGACACATTGACTATTCTTGTTATAAGGTTTTGGTATTACAAATCATATACGAATCATAATAAGTACACAAAAAAAGAACACATCGGATTTGGCAATAACTCATCAATTGTGAATTTCAATGCCACATTCAACACTACACATTCCGGTATACTGAAATATTATGGTAGACATATTTCTTAGCTTTACTACTAATTGTCATAATAAGCTGACAATTATCATGTTTAATACTTGAACTTGGTATATTTATCAGTAATCAATATAAAAATGTAATTAAACCCTATTTTGTCGTATTACAAATGCATGATCACGCTTGAAAACATGTTTAAATCAGAAATTTCATCAAATTATTTATAATCCTAATTCCCTCAAATGAATGAGGTGATTCACAATTCCATGACAAATGTTTTAACCTACACTAACCAAGATATCCATGAACAACAAAATATAACAGATTTGTAGTAGAAGAAATATTGAATAACTTGTTCAGACTAATGCACATCACTACCAAAATACAGACAAGGTAGGTTAAATAGTTTCCCAGACACAGAGTCCGTGTTAATATAGGAGCTTTGTGCTTCCTGCAAGTATAATAACATTCATTAATGACTTTTTGAACCAAAAGTGACGTTGTTCTCATGATGTTATGTGCATGTAAAATGAACAAATTCGAGAATATTTATTATTTACTTCCAAAATGTTTGACTTCCGATTGCAAATGAATCTGAAAAATCATTCATCATTCCAGAAATACAATAAATGATAATTTATTTGATGTCGCGAATTTTCAGGAAATAAACGTATCCCACAGCATCACCGGCTGTCAGCAACGTTGTGTCTATTGGATTCCATGCCAATGCCCAGACACCAGACGCTGTGTGGAACACATGAATCTGTTTTTGCTGCTCTACATCCCATATACGAATGGTCTGATCTAATGCAGCTGATGCTATATACTTATCATCCGGTGAAAAGCATACAATACGTATTTCTGAAATATGGCCTGACATGGTACCAATGATCGTGTTTGTTTCAGAATTCCAAATACGAACCAACAAATCATCAGAGCATGTGACGATATGTTTTTGATCGTGTGAGAATGAAGCACATGTGATCCACGCAGGCTGCTCCATGGTTTGAATGAGGGCGCCATCTTCACTACTGAAAATACGTGCTGTATGGTCAATAGATGAGCCAATAATTCTTCCACCAT